TCTTCCGGCCATCTCTGCCATCTTCCTGCCATCTTCCTGCCATCTTCCTGCCATCTTCCGGCCATCTTCCTGCCATCTCTGCCATCTTCCTGCCATCTCTGTCATCTTCCTGTCATCTTCCTGTCATCTCTGCCATCTTCCTGCCATCTTCCTGTCATCTTCCGCACGGGCTCCGTCTTTACGTCTCCTATGCTATCCATCCAACCACTAAAGCTGTAAAACATATTTGCATATTCAAGCGCAGACACCCATGAATCATGAGATAAGCCATTCATTCTTACCCGGACCAGTCAGAAGGACGGATGATCCTATCCGTATCTGGGCAGGGAGGCTATTTCTTGTAATGAAGACTGCTGTATCTAGCTCGTCCATACAAGCAATCTGACGGGTATTAGCAAGTTGGATCCAACAGGACGAAAATGGCAATAGCACTGTCTATTAATCGAATAGTCCACCTTTGTCACACAGGCAGTCCAGGACACTAACTGGATGACTTAAGCCAACATCATTATATCTATAATCTTTCGGCCTTGTCTCGAGTACTCATCTCTATTTAGCATAGAATTATTAGATTCCTATCAAGTCATCCTCCAGTAATGCGTTGGTTCAGCCCTGCCGTGCAATCCAAGGGCGCCATACACGAGTATTCGAATTTCCTTCCTCGCTTAGGCCACAAGTTAATGTCATGCCTGAGGTTAAATGATGCAGATGACAAGAGAACTGAGGTCACTTCATTACAACCTCGTTACCGCTCGGCTAGTATTGATATTTCATCCGCATCACGTGTGAGTAACAAGTGCGCTGTTATTTAAAGATATATGCTGATGTACACTGGCATGTAGCTAGATCATAGCATTACTCTGGGGCCCACACTGGTCGCGGGAAATTTCATTCCAAACGCAATCTTCGGTACCTTCAATCTACGAGCAGAAAGTGTCTACCTGGACGGTTCTCGTCTGTCTCCTCCGTTCGTGGCTACTATTTATCTTGCTTCGGTTCAGTTCAAACTTATTGGGTCTATTCCATAGTATATTGATGAAGGTGTCTTTATATCCTTCACCTATGTAAACGCCAGAGTTTGGAATATTGTTGTGTTTGTTCCGTATCAAATTGTCCAGCCGCGATGCGAGCTAGCACTATCCTCTGCATCCTTGCCAGACCAGCAGGATGGTCCAGCTTCTCCGGACCCTGCGAGGCATAAGAACACTTGCCGGTCTGATCACCCCTGTTCCCAGTTTATTTAAAATTCCTTTTTTTTTTCTTTTTCAAAACGGTACCAGTACCATGCTCTGACCTGTTTTTTTTTATTGGGTCCAATTATCCTAAACTGTTGCGGTCCCCCGACATTTGATTCGCTCCCTGCATGCCTTGTTAGATTACATCGTGCCTTACACCATTATCATAGTTTAAGAAATGATAAACCTCCATATACCCTTCTGAGTCCCCCTGTTCTAGTATATTTCTCTATCCTTCTTCTCCTCCCCCATTTGACATTTTACGGCAGATTACTGCCTGATCATAGCCTTCCCTGAAAAAGGTTACACGAGACATCCCTCACGGTTTGCCATGGAACACGATGGATCCTTGCCGCAATGGTATGTCCAAATCAGCCGTTACTGTGCCATGTGTGGCGTCTCCTGCGAAATCGGAAGCACTGCAAATATTCGTGATGAATCAGCTTCATTCGACAGTACCCTTGGGCTTTTGACCGCAGAGGAGACTGCAGACCCTGCAGATTGGCAACATAAACTGAAACCGAGCTACTTGCCGAATAATCCAAACCGCCTTATTAGATTTCTCGTCGCGCTCTCTGAAAGCCTTGAACGCCGTGGCATGAAGGATTGGGCAACCTGGACTCAGAAGATGCCTCTTTAAGTAGTTCTAATCTATATCCAGGCTATAGCTAATTCTGGTTCAGATTTTGCACCATGGCTAGCACGGATAAATTAGTCATGAACTCGCTTCTTACGCTATCCGCGTGTCTCTGGGCCACAGTTGAGCAGAAGAAGGAAATTGGACATATAGTCTTCTACTTCCGCTGTTGTGCTATGAAGGAGCTGCAGATAGCTGTTAGCAAGTTCTCCAAGGATAATTGTGATACGATTCTTGCGGCTACAATGCTGTTGTTGTGGGCAAGTGATGAACGGTATGAACTCCTTGATTCTTAATACAATAGACGCTGATAGGCTCAGGTCAAGCTGGATAATTTTCTGGGACGGCTTACAGTCTGCCCTAAAGTCAATGCCGCAGGTATGGAAGCAAGAGTCTGAGCTGGCAAATTTTATTGAAAGTCAACAATACTTTCAGATCTTGAAGTTGCCTTCTTGCTCGAGCTACCAAATTCCTGATAAGGATCTACCTAATCTTTCCTACACAATTGTGATTCTTCAATATATCCGGGATCAGATCTGGCATATTGATAAATACTTCGATCCGGTAAACAAGCTGGTTGATTTCCTAGAGAAATGCCATGATGAAGTCCACTTTCTTTCACCGGATCAGGCTTTTCAGCGCGTGCATTCTATGCGAAAGTGGCTCTTCTGGCTTCCGCCAACTGTACTGCGGGAAGGTACTGGCGACACCCTCGGCCTGGCTATTTTAGCACAATTCTTCACTGCTGGGCTGGTTCTGAATGACTTGTACCCTGAGGCTGGATGTCATGATCTAGGGCAGTTAGCCGTCCGCCCTATCGAAGAGATTTACTGCACTGTCTACACGCGCAGCACAAGGACGCCACAAGACCAGGACGTACAACTAGCCATGTCCCTCGTGGAATGGCCACGATACATCGCCAACCAGTATTCCTCTCAGGTCATCGACAGTGTCAAGGTTCCCATTTCGTACTCTCTATTTCCATGGCAGACGCACTATATCAACTACTCGGGGATGAAGCAAGTTTCGATGACTTGTATATCGGAGCCGCCTCAAGCTCATTACCCAGAACAATCGGAAGTATAATTACTACACCAACTCGGACGCGACTGGTTGAGGGTTGTTCGGACTGCTGGCGTTCGACAGATGAAGGATAGCGAAGAATGTGCCAAGGGAATTGGCTGTGGACAGGGAGGGCAAACTAGGAGAGAGAACTTGGAGCATCTATATCTCTTGGATCAGGTAGTACTAGAGCCAGTACGGCTGTCATGTTGAATGGTACTCCTCGCCCCTTGCTCCAACATGAGTTCTGCTTCTGGGTCCTGCGCTTGCTATTACATCATAATGGTCTATATCACATTGGTATGTAAAAGTGGGACCGCCTCTATGTTTAAGAATGTACTGTTAATCTCTCACAAGAGAATATCAGTTAGAGAAACTATAAAGCAGAGGAGTTGTAGAGCGTCCGTTTTTGTACTTATATAAGCAGCGGGTAGAAAAGAAGGGGATTGCGAAGAACGGGGCGCGGTACCACATGATAAGTGATAAGTAAAAGAAGAACGAAACAAATAAGCAACTATCCTGTTTGTGGACTGCCATGACAGTCGTATGAATATGTTACATTCGAATGGCAATCTTGATGATATGTACTTACGGTGGTGTAAGCCCAAGTAAAAAAATAAAAGCAGGAGCAATCTTATAACTATCTTCTTAACTCAAGGCCCAGCCTTCCGTTGGACGCCTCTTTCCAAACCTTATTAGGTGATACTCTTCCTGGCTTCTCTGTGCAAATAACGCCAACCTTCTGGCTATGATGATAGACTTAAAGTCATTCTCCATATTGCTATATCATTGAACAATCTTTTGTGGAGCGAGCGAGCCAAGCAGCTTACATGCTCTTTTGGGCGACTCATGGTCTTTGCTGGGGCGGTCAGGCACAGCTGAATACCGAGACCCGTGATGAATGATGAGAAATTGTTAGCTCCAGTGAGAAGCCGCACTCTATATATTATTTCTTCTGGGGTCGAGACAGCAGACATCCTATCCTTTCGGTACCTGATGACCTGCTCCACAAGGAACATTGCATAAGAGTCCGGTTAAAATTGCCGTGGATGGCTTTCTAAAAATGGTCTGAAGCTGGTGCCAATCAGAAAGAGGATCTGAATATTGTGGATGGCTTTACGAACTCATTCATGTCCTGGTATGAATGTTGCGTATGGTTCTCCATTATGGCAATGCACTAATGTGACAGAAGATCGACGCTTATTATCGACCAGTATTTCTTTCATATGCCATAGGAAGGGCCAGACATAAAGAATGTTGAACGGAGTAATGGGAAATGGACTTGAAGCATTATTCTGGAGAGGGAAGGATTTAGGAACTTATATGTGCAACCAATCGTACCTGGTCTTGGATTAGTGATTCAAATACCGGCTTATGTCCAAATTAGGGTACTTTTCGTAAGCCTGGGATTAAATTCGTTCGAAACAGGGTCGCAACACGGCCTGATTGATGGATGTACTTGCCAACTTGGATACTTTGCAAGGATTGGATAAAGAATTTTGACAAAACTATCATGAGCCCTAATTGCCGCTAACATACATATAGTCGTTAAGGAAACTCCGTCTCCGTTAACGGCCCCGGCCGTACTGAATCCCAGGAGCCTAATAATGGGATCTTCATCCGTGAGAAGTGTTGAAAGTGTTGGCAGCAAGATTAGGGGTACAGAATATTATGAGTGTGATTAGGATGACTGCTTCAGCAATTCGATTGGCTATCTATCTTCGAGTTAGCCTGAGTTGCGTGGAACTCTAATAAGATGATCTTACCCCGAATCAATTATATCCAGTGAGAAGGCAGTAATAGAAATAAGATCGTATAAATGATACATTCTTGCACTGATAGAGTTTGATTCTCGTGCCGGGGATAATTAAGTCGAAGTAGGCCTGCAGGGACCAAAAACAAGTACCAAGAAATATAACTGGCTAGGATGTGACTCCATGTCATTGAAAATAGCACTTGCTCTTGACTTTGTACTGGAATCGGAGCCATAGCTCAATGGAAACGGATAACACTTTGAATTAAAACTTGGAGAGGGATGGAACAGAGTACAAGCTTTTCCAGTCAACATGGCAATCGGACTCTTATGTAACACAATTAAGATAGAGGGTCAAAGTCCACGTATTCATATCGCAAAAGAAGGACTAATGTTAAAGAAAGGATTGGGGGTCATAGTTCTTTGTATCCTTGTCAAGAAAGAGAACCAATGAAAATAGATTCAAAACTGATTAGACCCGCTCTGAGTGTGCGGCATAAGCCTCACGGGGGGCGGAGGAGCTGGAGAATGCTGCTGCTCTAAGGAGGCTAGAGAAGGTCGAAAAGGTTGCTTGGGCCGTGATTGAGCAACATGATACGGAACAGACGCAATAACACGCCAAGCATTGATGTTCACGTGGGTAAAGGTAACAATCATATTTCCGTTGCTTGATTCCGCGAGGACTTTGAAGTCGCAATTATCAAGATAAACAATATCTTTAAATGGACAAGACAGGGCAGGTTCGTTCAATACAACTGTTCTCGTCTTTGGCTCGTAAGTACCGAAAATCGCGTTATGAAAGAGTTTCCCCGCGATCACTATCGGCCTTAGACCGAGACCGTGATTTGACTACATGCCAGTGATATCAGCGTATGCATTGAGACAAATACATGCTAGCTACTCACGGGTGGTGTGGGTAAGTCAATGATACTAGACGAGCTGGAGACAGGTCGTATTGAGGTGAGATCCCCATCACTGTCGATGTTGCCAAACCCCACGCATGATAGTGATCTCAGGAAATGCAGATGCTCCTGAGCAGCGGCCTTGCATTCCTGAACGGCGGCGATAAACCAATGCATGACTGTGTTGATGAATGCAAGCTGGTCTGTGCCTAATTGCGGTGTGCATCTGGGGCCAAGGCTGACAGCTTTATAGACATAGTGAATTCGGTTAGAATGTTTATCTTCAGATTTCCTATGTTCTTAATACTCGAGTAATGCTGCAGATAACGCAGGTAATCTGTGATTGTTTTTATTATGCATTCTAGTAAACCCGGTCTATCCTTTGACCTGAGAGACCTGTTATCCAGTATGCCGATCGACCGATGTCTTTTTCTTCCACGGGGTGCTTCTTGGCGGATGGATGAGTATGCGTAGATGGGCCCTCTGCAGCCTGCAGCCTGCAGCAAGCAAAAGCTCGGATCAGGGGCCCGTGAGTCCGTTTATCCTAAGTGGGTCACAGACTGGGGTTTGGCCCACTCCCTATGTAGTGACTTGGCTGGCTTGTAATTATCAGTAGTCACCCCGCAAGTATTCATAGTCATTTCCAATGTAATTATGGGTCATCATATATAAGTAATATACCCGGGCCACCCTTAATGTTCACGTAGCAAGTTTTGGTGGCCTACTTGTAATTATTGGTAGTCACCGTGTGATCATTCGTGGTCACCCGTAGGTGTTGGTGGATGATAGGTTCTTTTCCTCATGGACGTCATCATACCAAACGAAGCAACAAAGGAGAGGTGTCAAAGACCCAATCTTCCAGTAGCAATTGAGCACAAACCTTCGTTATTATAGACGTGATAAAAGTGTGAATCGTAATGGGTCTGAAATTATAAAGGCAAGGCTGCGCACCGGGTGTAGTATTGTCCAGCTTTCTACTTTCCACCTCATTTACAAGCACCGCATTTATATACACTCTCACATCCCACCTTGCGAACTCGGCCACACAAAATGTCGGCGTCTTCTGGTACCGGCACTGCTCAACCGCCCACGTCTGCCAGAGAAAGGGCTCTTGCCATCAAAAAAAGCCAAGAAGACGCACTTTCTCGACTACCGTTGAACACACTTTTCATTGTTCTTTATATACGATCAGACCCCCCTCGACTGGACGACTTTCACTGGGGTTATTACTTCCATGATACCGCTCAGGGCGGATGGAAGTACCATATGAGAAACCTGGGTAGTGGATGGATACCGGATCACGGCCAGACTGGTGGTGTATTCAAGTCCAATTTCCTCTGCACCCTTGTTGAGATAGCAAGTGTCCCAGTGGCCAAGCAAGAACAGCTCCACCAGATTATGAGGTCCCGCGACGGAGACGTCAATTCTATTCCCGGCGTCACATGCCGCGTGTGGCTGATGGTGATCTTGGAGTCACTGATTCAAGCCGGGATAGTCCGTTGCAACAATGCTGAAGCATTGCAGCAGGAGTGCATATCTTTTGGGAACCGATATAGCGCCGATGCTGCAAAGAACAGTCAGCCGCGGCCCGTCGTTAGGTCACAGGTGTCCCTTTGAGGCCGAGCCTGTCGTACAGGCCTTCAGGATGATTACGTGGGACTGCTATTGTTTTGCTCACTTTATTGTCTGCCGTGCTTAATCTACACTCCCTCTCCACTTGTTGGGTATGTTTCATGTTTGTGTGGTGATGTGTCGAACTCTCCCTATTGCTCTTGGGTTCTCCCAACGATCTTTCGTTTTCATTGCTTCAATTTCTCTCGATTCATTCGTGGTCCAACCATACACATATTTCGCTCCTTTCATTCGTGGTTCAACATATGTGTTCTGGCATATGGTTCTGCCATCTCAGTATAGTTAGCTAGTGTGATAAGAACCACAACGATCATTGGCATTCATTGCATTATCATGGAAGTCTTGGCGACTCCTTTATCATAGCACAAGACCTTAGTGCTGGTTCCATCATCCTTGGTAGCGTGCCCTTCCGTTTCTTTCCAGGACGACCCCAAACAAACCGTGGTCATACCAGCCCTGGCCCTTCGCAACATCTACAGCAATGCCTGCACTGCGGCTAATCCATGATTCTTTCGCTTTCCTAAAAGTTCGATTCCTTCATTGATTTGTTGTTTTCAAGAATAGTTCATTTCCGTCATCAAACTACTGCTACACCTAAACGAACCATGAGACCACACAGTCATCAGATAGACAAGCCGCTCTTTAATTTGGGCTAGCTACAATATATACTAATACGAGTCGTTGCACACGTATTGACCTTGGAATCGCGATAGATGCCCTCCAATCAAGTATCTGAGAAGCTAGTCTCGGATACGTCACAAGTTAAATTGCTATGTACGAGTCAACTGTCAATAGGTTCAAAGCAATGTCCGAATCCAGCTCATTGGAATAATCATCCCCCCCAATCCAAGAAGCTACTTGAAACCACCAGCTTCCTTTTCCAAATCGCATCGCCGTTGTAAATTCCCAGTACTCTGGGTACCATCCTGCACATTCCCAGTCCAGAAACCCAGATAAGTGCCCATTGTCATCAACGAGAATATTATGAGCCTTGAAATCGCCATGAGTGAACGTGATTCGGTACTTGTGCTGTGAAAGTTTCTTTGCAAGTGCTAGAGCATTCTCAAATTCGAACCTGGAGTCGAATCCATGGGATGAAGCGGGAGAAATTAGATATTCGAAAAACTGTATCTGATCTGTGAAAGGTCCCATTATATGATCAGGAACCCTTGAGCTTCGTAGGGACGTCCCTATAGGAGAGCAGATGGAATCCGGACTTGGAGGAGTCCATAGACGCATAGAATGCATACACATTTTAAGCTCCTCTAACCACGGCTCCTCGGAGTCACTCTGCAATTCATCATCTGAATTATCAAGAGGTACACCAGGCAGCCGGGTCATTAGTATGGAGATCCTTCTGTTGAATGGAGCTTTTGGATGTTCACCACAACATAGAACCTTGGGAACAGGAATACCGGCAGCATCTGCCATTTGCATAGAGACCACCTCTTCGATACTCGTCCGATCCGTCCATTTCATAACGAGACCGAACGGCAATTGCACGACGTTGGCATCAAAATGGATCCTGAACCAGGAGCAATACCAATAAGAGAAGCAGTATAGTAACTTGTGCAAGATGCCCCATACTATTCGGATGGTTCTGCACGGGACATGGGGAACAGGTGGCGTTATCGTCGAGACCGTGGAGGTTATGGGTCGCGGCCATGTATAATCAGGGCGTAGAATACGTGGAATCATTGGTGTAATCAGTTGATAGAAATAGTCTCAGCGATGAATGTAGGTCAAGGGGTGCGCAAGGTTGGGCGTTATATCGAGTGATTGCGACTTTCAGCTTTGCCCAACTCTGAAATCACGTGATATAACACGTGATTATGCTGGTCAGGATACTCGGTGAATGACAATCTCAGTACACACTGAGTGGAGAACACGTAATAACGATTGAACTACTCCGTGGAATCAGAGTAATGCGCAAGACGATGTATAGGCTTATGTTGGCGTGTTTTAGGTTGAATAAGCAGGCCTGTCTGGCAAGTTGTGGGGAATGGGTAGAATGCGGTCCATGTTAGCAATGAACGCAAGCCGTTCAGGTGCGAGAGGTTTGAATGGCATACGAGTATCGATCTCCATCACAACTTTACTCTCGCGATGCCTTGGCTGGCCAGATCGTGAATTGAACATAGATAGACCCAGACCGTCTTCTCAATACGGCCTTGGCAATACAAATTTCATTCGACTCCATGGTGCCCCGGCATCCTTCCAATGAGATCAGGGCCTACTGGAGGCGGATCAGGCTCAGTAACCATCTTGTAATTATCAGTGGTCACTGTATGAGTATGGGTGATCGCCATGTAAGCATCACAGGTCAGCCTGTAAGTATTGGTGGTCAAATCGAATCTAAAGTTCTATAGAACAGGCCATCTTAGCCTCGACGGACACTCTATCCCTTGCCGTCTGAGTTGACCAGCAAGCATGTGTTACCGGAGAAACAGAACCCTGTCATGATGTACCTTGACTGCGTCGGGAAAAAACAGGCAATTGTACAAGATTCGACCCCAAACGGGACCGAAACGGCTGGTGCACGCGCGCTCAGAGGGCGGCACAATGTGTCCGGTTCTTACCCCCACTTCACAGGGAAGCTCCACCAAACGTAAAATGAACCGTCCGAACCATGAACGTCAACAAAATCCGGCCCTAAAAGAAGATGGTGAAGAACCTAGCGGCGACATTGGGAGATCTTTGGCAGCATCAAGTGCGAAGTTTGAGGTCAGGCACAACTCTTCGTCTAAGGTGGGTAACGTGAATCTGACCACACTTCGCCCACCCTACCCGCGATCATGAGCTCGACTAATACTGGCTAGCGTATTCGCTGGCCTCATCCATGTTGGGATAACAATTCCGACTTCAAAATCCGCTAGAGTTCAAGACATAGCTTTACTGTTATTAGAACAAGCGAATAAATCCATTTTCTCATTTGAGATATTCGACTCTCCCTGTTATAGTTACGCCGTTCTTAGACCCTGCTAGCAATCTAATTCAGAAGAAAGACTCCTTGGGTACGGGCGGCTGGGCGTTGCTTTCCTGAAGGAAAAATGGCGATCAAATTGCCCCTGAGGCGGGTATCTCGAGCGGCGCTGCTTCGGAGGGAGACTTCCATATGGGCAAGATATTCGGCTTGCGTCAGTGATCGAGAAGTGTGATTCCATGTGCCTATCAGGATGCCAATGATTTCGTAGAAGAGCTGGAAATCGGCTCTTTGGAAAACACTTTCAGCAAGCACTATTATATTGTCGCCAAGTTGTTTCTCTGGAGCCTTTTGCCCAAGTAGATTCAATAAGCTGCCAATCACGTGAGACGATAAGCTTAGAAAGCATTCTGGCGACCTCCAGGACTGCGGGGTTTGAGCATAGCTCTTTCTTCACCTCACTTCACCTCAGCCCATTGTCAGACCAGGGGAGGTTGCGGTTGATGTGATATCCCGAGGATTCTGTAAGTAATTATGCACTTGCTCCTGGATGGATGGCTTATTATCTTTGTTTGATAGAATGCTCAGTTATAATAACATTTTAGTCCGATCCAGCGCCGTTGTTTTCGAGATGGACGCGGACATTTGGTTCCGGGAATGGGCGTCAAAAAAGGGCCAGAAGCTATCGAATATACAAATAGAACGGCTTGTCACTCTTACAAAACAATGGAAAAACACTGTTACATCTGATACTTTGGGCGTTTGGACCTCAGACCCTTCGGCTGAATTCTGGGGATTTGAACCTTACCGTACAGAGGGCGCGTGGGTACGGGAATGTCTGGAGATCAAAGTCCCAACATTCATGGACGGTGACAAAACCACTGAGGACTGTGAGAAAGTCTCTGCACGCCGCAGGGTCCTTCTTATTATTCTTCATGACATCATTCAAAGGGAAATACTGCGATTGCGAGCATCTTCCCAGGCCCAGTCAGTCAAGTTTCTTACCGCAGCTGTCAGAAATATTGTGGCACAAGCTTATCCTGGAAAGGATATCCAGAAGTTATGTAATAAATGTATCCATCTTCAAAGGTATGGGCAAAGGTATTCGTCACTGGCGAGAAAAGAGTTGGTATTAACCCCCCTGCAAGCTACTTCATCTAAGTCAGTCTGCCCTTTTCGAAAAATGTATACCAGCTAACTTTAGTCTAGGTTTGAAAGGGCTAAGATAGAAAATATTGAGATGGAGGCGCTTGTTGCGTTCGGGGAAGCGACCTATGATAAAAAGCATCAAAATGATATGCAGGAGGCATTTTTATGCATTCTAAATACCTGTCCATTTAGACAATCTGGAAATTCGAAGCCGCGGCTTCCCTCAAAATCGACACGAAAGCGCCTCCGGAAAAAGGCCGCAAGAATGAAGCATATACAGAAACCTTCAGCGTCTCCGACTACCTCTCGCCACAATGAAAACCAAGTCATCCAGAATTTCCCCACACCGCGACATGACACTTTCAGCTCCCTAGAAAAACCGCCGGGCTCGAGTAGAAACTCTACTGCGCACCTTAGCGAAGCTCAGAATGCAGCTTTGGTTAGAACGCAACCATCACAGCTACAAGAGGAAAACCAGACTCGAGAAACATGCGAAAACTCTCCCATGCCTTGTGTCCCCGTACAGCTTTATTCTCCTGGTGATAATCTTTCACTTGGTGAGAATATGCTGTTCATCTCTCGGAGTGCGACGAATCCCTTTGATCCTCACCAGGGTATCCATCCGCTTAGTGATAACATACTGTTCCACTCTCAAAATACAGTAAATTTCTTTGACCCTCATCAGGGCATCCATCCGCTTGGTGACGATATACAGTTCAGCTCTGAAAATGCGGCAAACTTCTTTGATCCTCATCAGGGTATCCATCCGCTTGGTGATAATATGCTGTTCAGCTCTGGAAATATGGCAAATCCCTTTGATCCTTATCAGGGTATCCATCCACTTAGTGATGATATTCTGCCCAGCTCTCAAAACACGGCAAATTCCTTTGATCCTCAGCAGGGTGTCCATCCGCTTCGTGATAATATGCTGCTCAGCTCTCAAAACACGGCAAATCCCTTTGATCCTTATCAGGGTATCCACCCACTTAGTGGTGATATTCTGCCCAGCTCTCAAAACACGGCAAATCTCTTTGATCCTCAGCAGGGTTGCCATCCGCTTGAGGGAATTATTCAGTCCAATACTGAGAGCCTAGTGTATCCCTTTGATCCCACCACATAGGATCCCAAAATAGGAAGACCGGTCCTCAGCACTGAGAATTTGTCAACATACGGGATAAGTTTCCTACAGACATTGATGCCACCATCTGACTCTGCGAAGCAGTCTTAGACCAGGAAATACTGCAAATCAGCAAGCGTTGCGTGTAAAATAAAAAGGAGATTTCCTCTAATATCTCCAGTCACCTCTCGTTTTGCCATAACTGTCATTCATGATCTGTTTTGTAAAGGCTTCCTTAATCTATTTACATGCGTGAAAACATTTCTGGAATTGTGAATTGACTATATGTGTGGAGAAGCTGTTCATTCCCCAGCACTTCGGTATGGGACGACAAATATCACGGTGGCGTTTGGGCTAAGTGTAGGCTCGGTAGTAGTGAAAGTGTACGTTCCCTCTTTCAGAGGTCCACCAGGCGTCAAGATTGTCTCCTCAGATAGTGGAACAAGGTACATCTGATTGTATTTGTTGCGTATGGGTTTCGGTACTGAGAAGTGCCCCAAATTCCAACCCCAGCCCTAAAATTGATGAGTCGATATCGACGAATACTACCGGATAGGCATACCTCTCCAATATCCATTTCCTTAACCATTTTCAACACCAGTGAGTGGAGTTGCACGCTAGAATAAGTCTTGTTTCCTTCCGTATCAATAGAAGCAGTGGCTTTTAGAGTTCCTTTTTTATCCTCCTCTGTTGCCGTCTCAGGTATCATTTCCTTGATTTGTTCGCGCAGGGCATTAGCCTCCTTGGAAAGCGGGTAGTTCATTACGCTCGGCGTTCGCGTAGAGAGGTCGATGGAGCTGAAAAAGAGATATATAATTTAGCGAACTATTATTTTTATGATGGATGGATATTAGGTACCTGCCTTGAGAGTTGACTGGTTGTGAGGAAGAAGATTCATGACGGTTATGCGAGGGGTTGTGGAGGGGCAGTGTCAGTTTTGAGGCCGAGGACCTCAATCAGTTAAGTTTAATCACGTGATTCGACTGGGCACCAACTTAAGGAATTACTCAAGTCCTGATCTTTTTCAATGAAGCATGTGCCCCACTGCGTGGATCTTGGCAACGTCCACTTTCCTCCACGAAATCCTGGTCCGTCATTGATAGACAGTGCCATTGTCGGAGCGAGTTCACATATCCGATCTGGCCAAATACCAAACGCGAGCAATGAAACCTATTGTCAATCAGCTATGGCTCAACAGCACGCTCAGCTATTCGTTTATTCCAATGAGTAAGACGAATCCAGAAGGCTATGGCTGCCGCATCCAGTCAGTCCACTTCTGATATCGTTTCGTTCTAGGCTGTCAGAGGGCGGATTCGACAACTGACGTTCAGTGATGGGAAGTTATCGCTATAATTTCGTATCCTTAAGGACACAGGTCTCTCTTCAGCAGTTGACGGATCCTTTGCCTGTCGACCTACATTATCAACGCTGAAGGTCACTACACAGTTAGCTTCTCCTATCTATGTGTTGTCGCTCATTACATGCTGGACTCTCCGAAGCACAGCAGGATATTCCTGTCTTGACCCTGTTAAAGTCTCCTTGTAAGTGCTACTTGGGGAGATCGCAAGGCGGTGAATCAGCAAATCGACTTGGAACCTTGTCAAGTGGCCCATAATTGAGCGGAAGCCTGCACGTGATCCAGATGTCCAGAAGAGTAGGTCAATCTTCTCTTTTTTTCTCCACGAGGCTCTGCCACCAGCAATTGTGCTCTTTGGTGGCTGCATGTGCTTGTAGAATATCAACGTCTTATATTATAAGGCGTTTGCGTGAGGGCCAGGTTACTGGGTTTCTTTCCCATTTGATAGCAGATAATGGTTTGTCGTTCCATACTTGGAAGTACCAGGCTTTAATTTTCGTTTGTACGTTTCAGACACAATTTGGATCGCTTTCGCGTGTTTCAAATCATAATTATCAATTTCCTATACTACTAGCTAAGAGACTTTCACAATTTAGTCTAAACTACCTGCTGCTGTAACATGCGCCATGAAGATAAGCACGATACAACAGCTCGCAGATAAGCATATTGGGATTGGGCAATTTCATCTTGGCTGGATACTTCACTCTATTTCATCTTGGCATGTTCATAATACTACTTCTTTGGCCCCGAGGACCCAGATCTCCGTTGGCCAGAAGCAGACTCACTCCTAAATGTTGATAATGTTTCATGGGGAGGAATTATTAGGAAGTGCTGGGGTGGCGGATATGCAAGTATGGATCAGTTGAAAAAGGAGGCTTACCAATATTTCAATACTTAGGAATAGCTTGAGTACATAGTCTCAACGTTTAACTTTTACTTCCATACTAAACTGTTGAATTAATAAATTAGATTCAGTTACATTAGACACACAACCCAGGCACATGCTAAGACAGGTATTTTCTTTCCTTTTCCCAATTAGGCTGTAAGTGGTACTACTTTAGATGCGAAGTAGAAAATGACTATACTGGAATATACGGGCGAAATACGACGAGGGGACCAACATGTGAGTCTCAATCCTATCTCATTTTGTGCGTTATACATCACCAGAGGACATGATCAGTTCGAAAAGCTGCTGTGATGTCATTTCATATCCGAGTATACGCCCTTGCATATTGCCTTGCCACTGCGTGTCTTTATAGTTGTACCATTGCTTCTCGCATAAGTCATAAGAATCCTCACTGCCAACCATATCAACCAAGCTGTTGATAACATCTTCATCCAAGATATTTAACGAGAATTGTGTGTCTGGCCAATCTGTGTCATTCCATTTTTCCACACTTTGAGGCTCCACAAGAAAGCCTAACTGGCGCAGGTAAGTTGGCCGATCAATTCTCCATGCCATCTCAGAGTTCCAATTCAAAAGTAGAAGGAGCTCTATGATGTGCGGTGGTCGCAATTCCTGAGTAACCCGAGCGATGAAAGATGCCCATGCAGAGTCAGAAGTTTCATGTTCAGTGAATTGTGCTAGGTCGGCTTGGGGAACCCAGTCTGATAACTGGGCGAACCTCCCTTTGAAGATATTACGCCCTAAATATCCCCATATAAATTCGACAACTTCAATCAAATCCAGCTTCTCCCGAAGAGACCTGTCCGGATTATCCGCCCATAGCTGCCAAAGCTGGTTATAGCGATCATTTCGGGTGGAGGACATTTTGTAGTGTGTCATCTTCGCAAGCCAGATCTTTTCAATCAGCACCCAGTGGGCTGTCAACGCATGGTAAAATCGAGAATATTCTGCATATCTGTGCCCATAGTCCAGCGTACAATTGAAATCCTTGGGTTCTGGCATGGCTTCTTCAGTAGCACAATCACAGAGCCTATCGTCCATAGCGGGATGAATCACTGTATTCGCTCGAACGAAATGGGAGTGTATTGAGGAACTTCTGTATAGATCATAAAGGATCTTCATGGCATGCCATCGGACAACAACCTCAATTACCTGATTGACATTTATCTGAGGGACCACAGGCTTTTCGACTTCGTCATATGTTGTCTCGGGTTCGAGAAATATTTCCCTTAGATTGTGACGTTCATAAATATCCTGAAGGAGGCCTAGCTCGATGTCGTGTTCATGATGTTTTGCATTGATCTGCCCAGGTATGTTAGCAGGAAGAATGAGTTTAGTAAGAGTTATATTCAGGGAGAAGTAATCAGACGTACTATAACCGATTTAAATATTACAATTTGAAATCTTTGGAAAACCCCATGGAACTGTTTGCATGTATGAGAGAAAGACAAGCAGTCATCTATATTGTTCAGACTTTGGAAAACCAGGATGATGAGCTCCACAGATATGTTCTGTATAGACATGTTCCTGTTTAAAGATTTCTCAATTACAGCTGCTTGCCTAATGAGCGCAAATGGAAGGTGCTATATATGTCAGGCGCGGCGTACACGGACATATTTACAGAGGCAATTGGCTTGTGCGCCAGGAATACTGGATGATTAAGTTAGCTCCCGGGAGCTTTTCTTTTTTTTGGCCATAAAAAATGAGCTAATGGGGTTGTTTCGGGATGTTAGGCGGATGCTGCATGAGGTTAACTAGCATAAAATAGAACTCCAGGGTTCTGCCTATAGTTAGGCTGGTTGCCTAGAAGATCCATTTCCTGCAGCAGTAATCTAGGCGAACATGCGAAATCACTAGTGCCAGACAGACATCCTGGCATAGACTGGGTGTGGCCAGATGTGTGCCTCCATCCAATCACAAAGATATCATTAGCCTAGGAGATTTAGTGTGCATCGGTGTAGATGATCATGAGATCCTAGAAAGGATAATGTACCCTTACAGGATCGTTCACTGCCGTATCAATATAAAATCCTAGTAACCCTTTCAGTAAATAACTTCATTTATCTCGTACTCCTAGCACCCGTTCTACAGTTGCTAGACCGAGCATAACACATTGAAAAATAAGATATGACCGAACTCCACACGAACACAATGTGAGATAACATCCTTAACATTCTTATTGATTTGACTAAATTTCCAGGTACCCCTCCATCCAAGCGCAGTTTTTACGTCCAAAATGGCAATCATTCTTGACAACCCGATTGTTAAGAGCTAAGAATATTCCGCAGTATCTCGATTCAACTCCAGTCTCCGACTGTTCACGTGAGCTTCTTGAAAGTGATAATCCTTCTGATTTCATTGCTGGACTTATCATTCGAATATCACTATCACCAAATATGGACTTAGCAGAAGTCCACGTCGATAGCAGTCGTGTAACCTTAGCAAGATTACACAATGCCATACGAGGTCGGGCAGGGTTGGAGGTCGAAAGAGAAATTGTTGCAATTCTCGGATACCTTATTTCTGTTGCTATTGAGGTGTCGCCGGCTATAGCTCCGGCAGAGCTGATGGAGCTAGCTGAGGCCTGCCAACGTGAGGCTTATATACCACAGGTGTCAGGCCACCTTGACTTCCTGCGGGCCTATGCGTTGTGGAGATGCAGGGGTGAAAGACATGAGGTAGCATACAGCTTGCTTCTTCCTTCGTTCATATCAACACCTTTTTTCTTGGCAGACATTTCGATTCTCGCAACGATGGCTATTCCCTCCATCCAAAGGGACAATATACTGCGAATGTGGCCCATTGTCCATTCTATCTCTTCCAACTTGAAAATTCTCACTGCGGATTGGCTTTGGATGATAGGACCTATTTCATGGGGCATTCACTCACTCTATGGACTGTTGTACCAAATGGACCAACAGGTATCTTCACCCTATATTTCTGCGTACTTAGACAACTTCTGTGCAACATTCCAGAGATTTTGCACCGACTTACACGGCATGGCGTTTGGAGCCTGTACTTCTATTGATACCTACTGTGCTGAAGACAAGCAACTGCAGAGTCTAACGTTGGAGACTGCCCGTGTTGTGTGGCCGTCTCTGGAGATGTTGAGAACTCATATTTTTGGTCTCATATATCATTCCTACCAAGGTAACGACTACTAGAAGCACCTCGGGCTCTCGTCTCCGAGGCTAACATACCATGGGATCAGGTCACAGAGAGTGCCGAGCTTTAGGCGATAGCTTGGCTGAAAGTACCGTGGATCCTCAACTGTTGCAAAAGTCTGTTCCTAGCAATGATTCTGCAGAAACCGAGAACAAAATCTCTGCAGCGACTAGCTTCAGTCGTGAGGAACTCCGGGTCATAATATCATATTGGGTTGACTGGATTTATCATCAGAGGAGTCGGTCAATAATAAGAGGGAAGCCGGAGTTCTGGCCACAGAATGTGCGGTATAACCGATCTAGCAAGTTAAGAAAGGCAGGTACGTATTACTTCTGAATTCCAGGCTATAATTCACATATCATAGAGGCAAAACTCGTGTTCAATCACTTTCTTCAAACTCAACCTTTAGAAGGTCTGCGATCGATTCTGAATGTTGAATCAAGCAGAATATCAAGTGATCTCGCCAACAAATTGGCCGGCTTCATTGATTCGCAGGAGTTCAAAATGCTTGAATGTCAGCGAAACATGCCTGGAGATTCTTGTGTTTGAGGACTAGGATTTAGTATACTCATTACGGAAAGATCCTTTGTGATATCAGATCTAGAAAAGTTTATCACTTGTGTGTACTTTTGCCGGATGGTATACTGTACATAGTGTAGTCTAGATTCAGAATTACCTAGATTGGAAGGCTGGTCCAATTCGTCTTCAAAGAAAACCTTGGTTCAGCTTGTCTTTTCCATGTAGGGCATGGCTATTCTGAAACAATTAAGAATATTGCAAAACATGAGCAAACATGAGGAACTAGAAGCAAAGATAGCGCGACAGGCAACCGCACTTGTTCTATGTTATTTTCGCCCATAGTTTTCTTTTCAAGCGCGTCGGGAGTATAATATAGACCGTTTCCGTATCCCCATCCAGAAGTGTCAGTTTACAGCCCATTCTTATATCTCTACCCTTGCTTGAAGGGCCATTCCACCAACCAAGACGAGCCCATGGGGTTGTTTTATAGGAAGGATCCCATTTTATAATATTGGATGGCTGCAGTTCCCTTATCGAGAGATCCTTATAGTAGCAGTATTCCGTGTAGATGCCCTTTTTTTTATTCGTAAAAATTCTCTCCAAAGGTAGCTTTATCGTCTCATCACCATTGATGATATCGTATATATTCAAAGTTATGCCAGATGAGAAGTAGACTTCAAATTTTTCTTTATCATATCGCCAGCCGTTTTGGAGCGTAGAAAAGAAGGTTTGACTAGTATCACGGAGATCACCTGAAATATCATTCACAACAAGGGAAAGATAGAGACAGTTTGAAGACTTCCTAGAGCGAAAGGAACTCAAGTTATGGCCAATAAGGACTGGAGAACTTTGACCAGACTTTACGGCAGTATCGATCCAAGTAGGATCTTTGAAGATCTGCTGCCAGAGGCCACGACCGGTGTCCAGAATGTTTTCAATATCTGATGGAGCCAGAAAGTCCTTGATGTCCAACCAAATATCATGTGGGATGCTAAAGAGCTTCATTGAGATCGACCAGTGTTGTTGCTGGCGCCGTAGTTGCGATAATGTTGCGGTTTATCGGAAATGTTCCAAATGAAAGCAAATGAAAGGAATCTATAATCCAGCAGGAGGTGCAAGACGAGCCTTCATATTTAAGTGCATGATACATATGTACAGTACTGTATGCAAGTACGATTTGTTCACTCTTGCCAGATCATAGACTCACCAAAATTAACTGTCACCAATATCCATACACTTTTGCCCGTAGTAGAGACATTTGCCCTGGGTTGCATCTCCTCGAATCTTGTTACTGCTTACAGAAGCTAGGAGAGAAGTGTAAATCTACAATATGTACCGTATCTTGCTGTATCGACAATTGTACTCATCCAAGCATTCTATCTTCTCATTTTTATGCTGAATAATAATCTTTCAAAGCAAGTCTTCCTATGTATGTACCTGTGCGCTGTCATCTTCAGGCAAGGTACGAGGCTCACACTACAAGGGACCCTGACGGGATGGTATAATACCACAATTGTCTCTCAGGTTGACGTCCAGCCTATCAATGTCACAAGTTATACCTTGCAGTGGTAAGAACGTGGGAGATGATTAGAGCTGTAACTTGATGTGACCAGGGCCTACAGTTTCATTTCGATTAAGAAACCGACATTTTCTACCCGTCGCCTAAAGATACAGTCTGGGAATGAGCCAGGGCTTGTGGTACAACAGGACAAATTGGTACCTGCCAAGTCTATTCGTAAAATAATTATGTACATATTATTACGGTACAGGTGGGTTAGGTTGTGGGAAAAGAGCAGGAAGAGTAAGCGTTAGGCATGGTAGTTGTGCAAAGTACTGTACATAGTATGATCACTCAATCAAGTATATAAACTACAATAATTACAACAGAGCTCGCCCATGGTAAGAGCCTTTGCCCAGGCCGTAAGGCATCTCCCTAAATACTGATTTTGTTTGGAGAAGCTGTCTATTGTATCTCACTATACTACTAAGCTAGCCATCAAGCCTTCTACGTCCCCACATCCTCATACTGCATGATCATGTCAACCAATCGATATGTATCATGTCTAATCCAGGGAATGAAAATCGCCGCATCGAGCGTGACAACTGCCGCGAGGCACTTTCCAAGCACATTTGTAAGTTGCAAAGTACTCAGTCTGACACAGCTAACACCAAGAAGATGATATGCTATCTGATAAGGTTGTTGCACCCTCAAAAGTACGATTGCAACCATCACCTAGCGACGGTTATAAATGGTCTTACAAGGAATCAAAAAGCCACCTATTCAAGAAGCCGCTGAGCGAATTGTCAACAAATAGTTATATTGAACTACGGGAAGCTCTTAAAGAAGGCGCTATCAAAGCTACCCGAACACACAATGAGTCCCCCGACACCGAATGGAGGAAGCTCAAAGCAGATTTAGACGGCGCTTGTAACAGGGTAGCTGAGTTGGAAGGCGAAAACCAACAGTTATACCAAGCTCTACAAAGACAGTCTGAGAAGTTAAGATGCCTGCAGCGATGCTTTGCAGAAAATAAAGGCCAACTCGAGAGTGCGCTATTTATAATGGAAACAGTAAAGAAGGCCTTTGATAGTGATACGTATGTATTTGAATGAACGATAGTGAATCAAGAGATGGATGTTTTAGCTTTATGAAGAAGCCCCGTTCAAGCTTTTGTCATTAGAGACTCTAAACGAGTGAAGGTTAGCTTCTCTGGCTTGATGCTGTACCCGCGTCGCTTGTGGATGTATTAACCGATGGACAAAGGCACCGTTTGAGACGCTTGCCAAGTGTGCTCCCAAGAACCAAATACTCTATGAATATATATGTATCTCCTATATCAAAGGATGTACAGTCGCGACCGCTTTTGCCTTCCATGTCGGGGAACATAGAGAGGCACTTTCAAACCCTAATCACATGAAACGCTACTCCGACTATGGTTAGTCTAGTATTTGAAGATCTGTTCTGGCGTTGAATGGTATAATACTGAACTCGGTAAAACCGGATTAGGCCGTATGGTAGTGTACAGCAAGCCATTAACCACATCTCTAATAGCTGACGCCGCTGAAGGCCATGTCTTTACTTTGATGAAATGGAATATTGCTATGGGTTGAATTCTAGATGCTGGTGACCTCGAGTATCAGGATGGCCGTCGCATTTAAATGTTGGTCTAAAAAGACCCTCGGCTGAGAGATCACGCAAATGTCCGTAGATGGGAAATAAATTGACTAAGAAATGTCACGGGCTACCAAAAATTCTCTAACACTTTGGTGGACAAAGTGTAATCGCGTGCCAGGCTCATCAACAGATAGAAATCCTTTGCAACTCGAACAAATGGTCTCAGTTGTCTCCGTCTCTGTGAGGCCCCTTCCAAGACGCTGCGCGGATGCGACGTCGATTAATTCCGTAGTTAAAGCACCCATCAACTTGCTCACGGTAACAGAACCATTAGCATCAAGCACTATCCCCAGAGCCTTCTTGGCCAACACCGCTAATTCCGTTGGCTGGTGCACGACATCGTCGAGCTTTAACTCGTACAACTCAACAAGATTTAAAGGTGCGTCGTTCAGTAAACGTTCAAAAGTGGCTCTGGTCTCCGACTGAGCTAGAGATTCTATCATAGTAGTCGCGGATATCCAACTATGAAGGGTTAGTCATCGGCATGTTCAATGATGCACATCATAGTAACCAGAGGATGTCAGGTAAAGCCACTTGTAAGCGCTTTTGAAAAGTTCATACCTCCCATTACTCTGCTCGAAAATGAGATTGGCTGCCTTGGTAACGGTTTCAGGACTGTGATCAAGATATGCTGTTAGGCGAGCGTTCTTCTCAAGCATTTTCTTGATCATGTCAAAGTGGGCAGATAAAGTCATGGCATCGTCAGCGTGGACTATAACACTGTCTTGCAGGCTCCCGAAGGCTGCACTTGTTCCTCGCCCTGCTGCCAAGATATTCACGGGCGGTTTGATTTGTAGAAGAGATTCGACAACGTTTCGACTCGTCCCTTCACACTCGTCCAGTCCATCCAGTATAACATAGAAGTATTTGAGGTCACGCCGAGCTCGGCGGATTAGATCGATACTCTCGATTGAGGATAACGGGCCACCAGTGACCCTTAGAGCGGCAATGTGTTCCATGAGGTAGGGACGCTCCAACAATATTTGCTGCACGATGTTGGACAACACCAGAGCCTCGCTGAGCTTCTCTCGCTGTGAGAAGTTAAAGGCGAAGTATGCGACGCAAGTGTCAATTTCTGACTGATGCCAGGCTTTGAGGAAGAACCGGGTCACTTCGCAAATTGATGATTTGCCTGATCCCGGAGAGCCTGTGAGCACTAAGGTGCTTGGAGTATGACTCGTACCATGCCATTTTTTGAAGGCATTTTGGCGTAGAAACCACTCAGCACCGGCCCTCCTCTCCATGACTTCGTCTCCATTCAACTCGTGAAACAATCCTCCCAAAGACAAAGACTTCACAATGAGCTCTTGCTCTTTAGAAAGCGACATTATGGTTTGCCTTTGGGTACGAAAAGTAGCTTCAGTCAACTGGTTCTGAAGTTCGTGAAGCTCACTTCGGATGGCCTTGGAAAGCCGAATATGGTCATTCGCCATAGCTAAAAGGAAATGCGACTTTAGCTTTTCAAGCGAAGTGATCATCTCTTGGAAACCAGTCTGATCGAACGGCCACCGAAGCTGATCAAGAACAGTTTTGGTTCTGGCGCCGGAATGTGTTATGCCTAGCTTCCTGGCCATGTGCTCAAGAAGCTCCTGGAATGTGGGCAATGGGCCATTGTGGGCGGATAAGCTTTGAATAGTATGTGACCAATCTTCATCTTGAACCTCGTTCGTGAGTTCGACTAGGGTGGAGAGCAGGCCTCGAGCCTGAATAAGCGCAGCAAGTAGCTTTCTTTTCTGAGCGGGTGCATCGATGACCGTGCTCAGGTAGTTGATAACAGCGCCTGCTAGTTGAAGGAGTGCGACCAGGGAGGCGGCATTGCTAATACCGTCCATGTCAGTTCGTAGGTTAATGTGCTGTTCGACGAAGAAATATGCTCAGGGACAAAGCGCACTGCATATATTATGTAGCAACCAGCCTTTTGAATCGGAATGAGGCGAGAAATTTCAAAATGTAAACGAAGCGACAGAGAGATTCAGGAAGTGATGGGGAATGCCAAGCTTGCCATCTGTCAGCTCAGCTCTGACTGGCCTGTTGTTGAGAAATGTCCTTTTGGTCAGGTGAGTCACCAGATTGAGCATGGATTGTCCCAGGGTCCAGGAAACAAGCCACGTGCGTACTAAATATATATTCGACCAGGCCACATTGTCTACAGCAGTAGCCTTCTTCATGGGACGCAAAACATGGAGCTGAAGAGTACGGAGGGAAATGAAGGAGCCAAGGACGTTGAAGGTAGATCAACCCACCTCATCTCTTCCTACCCTTCGAGAACCCACTTGAACATTTTCTGGGAATTCACTGTATTTTAGAAAGACTCAGTCCGTGCTGAAATCCATTACGTTAAAAGGCGCGATACGCCTAAACAGTGACTGTTTCTAAAGTAACTTCATATGGTTCAGCGTGGCTTCGGGTACGGACCGAGAATCAAACGATGTGTCCACAGGGGGAAACTGTTTTCGACTGTATAGTGTAGTAGATATATCTGGGAGGCTTTCGCCACCTTCTCATTCAGCCAATGGCAGAAAGTGAAAATGATCTGACTGGACCGTGGCACAATCCGGGGAAGGGCTAGCAGAGTACGAGGTGGCGGGTGTGCGACGAAAGTTACTGGGGTGGAGGCATATTGTGAATTCTCGTCCCATGGGTCGATCGTCCTGGGTTGATAGGCATCGTCACCGAAAAGGCTATCGGTCAGTGGATATCTTCGGGCAACGAGCCTAGGCAAAACGAGCTGAAGGTGGTTACGTTAGCCAGGAATCTGACGTCCAGTAAGATCCAGAGGAAGCATGATGATCAACATGGCGGAGATTACAAAAAGATGCCTTACTGTCGAGCCTTGCCTATCAGCCTGACCCCGGATGGACCCCAAGGGAAGGACGAGGCCAGCAGTGAAGCAACTGCGAGATGCAGAAGGAGAATTGTTGACAGATTACCAGTTCAAGTGCTGCCTTTGTTTGCTTCTTTTGCATGGAACCCCATGGAAGCACCAGTATGCTATCCTTGGGCCTTGAATCTTTCATACTGGTATCATAAAGGACTGGTATTATTTCCCTTTACGTACACGATCTGTTATTTACACAATAACCATATCCGGATTAGCGCAGCATGTGATTAGGGTTTGAAAGAGCGTCTATGTGTTTCCGACATGGAAGGCGATAACGGTCGTGGCTGTATCTGGTTTATAGTATCTGTACAACTTTTGGACTAGTATATTGTTCTGTACAGTGTTGCCGAGAAGTCTATCCAGGGATAATACTGCGGAACTGTTTTTGCGAAACATATATATAACTGGTACTGTCAAATGTAATAGCAACTGCCTTCCAACTAAAGTTGCTCTGATTCTGGATTGTACTTAATCTTAACCATCATGCAGCATAAATGCAATAGCAAATATAATTTGCTCAATCGTATCATTTATGAACTGCAAATATAGATCTCACAAAATATTGATACTAGATTAAGATGGCAGTGGCTCTGTACGTATTTGAGTATAGACACACCAGAAACTGAGGAGCCAAAAGAATAACCCTTTCCAATTTCCAGAAAGTGAAGATTGACCGTCCTTATTTGCTGGTGTCGGTATTGAAGTCTTTTTGGAGCTTTGCCAGAAGAAAGTTGTTATAAAAAATGAACAGTATTCCAGATAAGACGGCGAAGAATCCTGTCACTGTGGCAGTTACAGTAGCAGTAACTGACCATGTCTTAGCTCGGGCTGTGTACACATTGATAAGTGTATTGAAGAAGCCAGTAGCTGAATTAATCAGAACAGGCCTGGAGAGTGTTAGGTGTCCTGTTGTTCTGATTGGGATGTGCCACACCCACAAGAATATCTTGCGTCCGATCCATACATAGTTCTGCCTGTTGCGATAGTACAGCCAGCTCGCTCCACAAAGACCGATAAAACAGCAAGTTGCTGCAATACCAAGAAGAGAGACATTTTGGACAGCTTTATATGCTGTTCGACCAACTTCATTCGCATCGCTGGCCTTCTTTAAGGATGCAGACGTCTGCAAAGACGTGAATGTGCCGGGAAAAACCAGATATCCAGCCAATAGGATCGAGCAGAAAGTCGCCGCCAAAATATTGTCAATAAGCGGGACTTTCTCTGTATCAAGTAGCATATTAACGTAGCGATCCGGTGATTCAGATGCATGCTGAGGTTTGTCTTCTGACACGGTCCAATTTCGGGGGACAAGACAACGTAGGGACGGCAAGCGAAAACGGTTAATCCAGTTCATAGTGTGAATATATTCAATAGGTATGCATATTCAGAGTTTGCTCAAATTCCGTATGTACTGAAGTGCCGCTACTATATATATATCTTCTGGGCCATCAAATATATGCTACCCGTGGGCTGTGTTCAAACGCTAGGGTTTCTCCCTCCACTCCCGGTACATTCTACTGGGAGTCAGACTAGAAAAAACTTTGGGAGCTGGCCAGTGATGGCCAGAGGATGGTAGAAAGTGTTGCTCACTGTAGAAACATCGTATACCTCAACACAGAGATCACAACACTCTATGCAGCGACATGCACCATAAACAAAATTGCTCACTTCAGTATTTAGCAGTACGACAAACATACTATATCTGGAAACAGGGTCTGTTGAGGCATGCTTCAGCCCTTGATGCGGACCTTCGTCTGACCCTGTCCCTCTACATCAATGTTGTTGGGGATCCATCCAATCGGAAGCCCTTCGAATTCGCATATCCTTCGTATGTCTTCCCTTTGAATCCCATACTCGAAAGCCGAGAAGGTGGACTGTTGTTTCATCTTCCAATTGTTCAAATATTTGCTCATTTCCCTCAGGCACACAACAACAGTACAAAGGGCGTGGTGGCGGTACTTAATAGCGTTGCAGTGTAATGAAAAGCCTCCATTCTTCACATAATTCAGCAGCTGCATTTCGCAATCGCTCGCAAGACATTGCTCCTGATTGTGCTTGCATAGATTCCAGAATAGCTGCAACCATGAACTCAGTATGTCCCAGATTGCTGGTCGGCCTTCACCAGGCGAGGAAACTGATTCCTCAAAATAGCGAAAGTCATGGCTTGGGGGGAGGGTGCTCCATCCATTGAAATATCTCTTTCTTTGGCAAAACTCTTCCAGGACGACCTTGGTATAACTTTTGCCTCTCTCTTCGTCCCAAGCGTACAAGAATGTTCCATAGTCAATCGTCCCTAGGTCTGTCGGTAGTTTATTTTCCTCATTGAGACTGCAAATCCGTGAATTGATAACTTCTATTTCGCTTATAGCATGCTTTGCAAGCTCAAGTAATCCATCTTTGTGTGCTTTGTATAGGTCACGGAGGTGCTTAGTAGCTCGTTGATACTTGTAATGATGGTATAGTCGAAGCTGGACAACGTCCCCGATTTCTCGATAAACTCTCTCCTTGTTCGCCATTTCTTTATGGCATAAAATATATCGTTTCTGCCTCACTCAAGTATGAACCATTCGGGTTTAAATAGTCGTCACTCGCTGCTGCTTGCTTATGTACAGTGGCACTGACGTAAAGCTGGCATAATGTAAATGCGATATTAGTGCGCTCAAGAGCACAGCCTTTGGGCTGGATGGTAATAATTTTGCCGTCCATCTCATAGAGTCAACACTATTGCATACATCGTGGGAATATGCACTCTGTTAGAGCCATTTGTTTTAGTACTAAAAACCTCTAATTTGTACATTCCGCAGTGCGACGTAGTATTGCGTCTAGAATACACTCAGCTCAAAACGCAGGTATAACAGCAGGTGAGGTTTGCAAATGACCTCAATGTAGTAGGCTATTTTTTGTTTGCCGTTTCCTGTGAGTACGTGCCCGGGATCAACAAACAAGGATACCCGTGCAAAATACACGCCTTGCGGAGATCGTCACGTTTCTTTTCATAACTCAGCCTGTCCTCGGTAATGAGACAGTGTGCTAGGTCCTTGAGATACTGGAGAATATCGTCGGTCTGTATGAGTCCCACCATGGAGTTCATATTTCCGTGTCGCAAGTGAAGTTTAATGACTCGTCGATTGAACGTGAACCCATGTTCGAGAATCAAAGTCTCTTGATCATCAATAATCTCAGGTGTCTCTCCTGCTTTCCGCAGCTGCCAGACGAAGCTGAATAATAACTTTGGGGTGCTCCAATTGCAATCATCCCAGTAACGACTCTTATAAGGACGGTACACATAATGTAGCTGCGGAGGTTGGCGTGCCCACCCAACAGGGTAATGTTGCAGCCGACAGAAATCGTATAGGTAGTACTGAAGGCCTGGGACAGACCACGCATAGATGAAAATGTCTAAGGCGATAACACCCAGTTCAGATTGTACGTTACTATCAGAATTCTGCCGCCGAATTTGAGCATTGATGGCTGATATTTGTTGCTGAGCAGCTTTTGCCGTCTGGCTCTCTATTGCATTCCTCTGAACAGCATAGAAAGTCTCGAGGATTGAAGGCCCTGCAAGCACGTGTAGCCTTTTGTGATAATCCGATATTGGCAACGGGCCGGATGTAATATTTGATAGTTTTGTGCATACTCCAAAGCTGCTCAAAGTAGACATTTTCAAAGGAGAGATGGGTCTGACGATGAAGACTATAGCTTCACTGAGATCGATTAAGTCAGAACATTAAAGGCAGTATTACAGGCAGAAAGATCATCATTAAATAAACAGAGCAATATCATAATGCGTTACCTCGCGCGTGGGGTTATTTGGTAGCTTCTGCAGGCTGGAAATCAAGACATAGAAGCTTGAAATCTTGATGAACAAGTCCCTCCTTTTCCACTTTCAGCAGTCCGTCCCGAAGTGAATCCATAAACCCCTCACCTGCGGATGCTTTTTCTCATTAGACTGGATACATCCTCGCTGTGAGGACAGTGCAAACCTGTTATCAGAATCTTTCCCCGATCATGCTGAAATTCCTTTGGCAAGACTTCCTTGATATTTACCCGATGTGCAAAGCTTTTCACACGGCGACCGTACTCTTCATTATTGTGCACGTCCGGAATATACAGTTTGATATTGAGCATCTAAATGATGCATCAGCCATTGTCAGTCAACCGCGGTCCGCCCTATCTCACCAGAGTCTTGGTATAGTTATCAAAGTCTTCCATTAAAAGATGTCTCATCCACGGAGAGACTGTGGCTAGGTTACCTACATCGCTCATTCAGTATGCTGCTGCATGCTTTGTAGATGTTATTCTTACAAGAATGTGTTTCCCATATCAGTGAAATTCGACGGACGGGCAGTTCTCCGCGTAACGACCCGTATAAGAGATAACGTATATAGGGTATTTGGGCCGCAATACCAATACCTTGTGCAAACATGATGACATGACCATACTCCTTGAGATCATGGTTTCCACCATAAGGTCCATCAACAACGGCTCGCAATTTTGTTGAGGACCCGTAGGCAGCAAGATGTTTCGTTAGACCCCATCGTGGCTGAATGAGTAACCAAAACGTGAATGGTCTTTCGATCATAGACTCCATTATGCTCTCTGCAGTTGCCGTGCCATCCCGTCCAAGTATGGAAAATTCCCTTCCAAGCTCTTCATCGTTCGAAGGATCGGTGGGAAGTCTAAGCTCTTCGTGCCACCAAACCACCGAGAACGGATGTCCCTGCGTGATTGACCAAGGATTCATTGTGCGGACATAGAGGTAAACCGTTTGACCGGGTCTCAATGCCCACCCCCTTGGCAATTCCACTCGAATTTTGATCGGAGGTTCAGGTTTACTTTCTGTGCTTGGATCTGAACCCATTTGCTCCTCCGATTCCATTCGCTCGTTCATATGGTAAACAGCCACTATTGTCGGAGGCCGTTCCAGTGGAAGGTTGAAATAAACTACCCGTCCTAGTTGTACAACTGTGGTGATGATAAGCAGACCAGTGGCTACCTCGAGACATACCAGACTAAATGTGGGCTGAGTCACAGTGGCTGTTGTGACTCGCAGTATATGTAGCCATAGAAACACTAAGCTACATAGTGCAAGGCAGTAGTGTAATTTGATGAAGATTTCGTACATGTGTCTCCGAAAAGACGGAAGCAGTATCAAGAGCATTACTGCAAGGGTGCAAGATGCCTAAAATAAAGTGAGTAGAGAACATGAAGGAGCGCTGGTGGTCATTACTATAATGCCTTCACGGTGCCCAACCTTCCTCCATTGAATTTGTGTATTTTGGCTCACGAAAACAATATGGAGGCCTGTTTGCAAGAAGGCCATCCAGCCCGCTGTTTGGTGCATTGTAGTGAGAACACCTAGCGGAGTCCCCAACATGTCCGAAATCAAATGAAGTCGAGAGCCTATCCAAAGAAAGCTTAATTGCAGGACTGCAAGACTCCCTGCTCGTGCCTGGGCGTCCTCAGAAGACTTGACAGCAACTCGGGTACAGATCAGTGTACTACTCCAATAGAGTAGCTGCAGGGAAGCTTCCCCCCAACTTATCCGGCGCAGCCATGTACGTCGAGTCACGAAACATGACAATTGCCATTGATGGAGGAAGGATGTTAAAGGACGTGGCGGCCATCTGAAGCGAAGGCATAGATAGAACGACCTTATGAGCAGAAGAGCAAGCACGCCACTAATAGTAATGGCGAATATGTAGATCACCTTCATTGTAACTTGGAATGCCGTTAGTCCCTAATATCTTAATGTGAGGGAGCTTCTCTATTTAACATATTACACTTGTAAGCAACCCAGTAAACTCTTATTGTATTGTTGCCTATGCACGCTGGCACCTTTTCTGGGACATTGATCTTATAATTGCAGCTAATTCCACTCCAATGTCAGAAGAGAACATCAAGGTTTACGATACAAATTCTCCAAAATGTCAACATGGCGTGACAGGAGTTTCTGGAAGAATCATTTCAGTTGGGAGTTTGAGCTTCTGGTTATCACAGTTCTTGAAGTCGGTATAGGATTGCTGCATTGGCAAGCACCGAATAGAATAATTTTATCAAAAGAGTTGAAGGGCCGTATGCCCAGAACTAGTTAAGCTAGATATAAGCCCAACCTAATAAATGATCTTATACTGTGGTGAAATGTATAGAACGTATACTAGTCAGCTCATGCCACAGAACCATATAAGTGGTCTTAAACCAAGAACAGACTATGCTAGATAGTGTTGGTAGATAATATAGGCTCTCTATTAGCCCGGGCTACTATCCAGCCTGGGAGACTTCCGCAATGATAGTCAGCTTTTTAATGGCTCGAGACAGAATTGGATGGCGGGAAAGTGCTAGCAGAGACTGCAGACTTTCGACAGTCAAGTTTGTGACTTGATGGCGGAAAAAAGACTTAAAATGAGGGCCCAGACATAAATTTCCCAAGGCCCTGTTGGTCAGGCGCAATGACTTGATGCTCTCAAGATCAAGATGTTCAATAATAGTATCCACTACAATCACCGGAGGCGAGGAAAACCCATTTCTAATTACGCGCATTCTGGCTATGCATATACTGTTGCCGTTAGCACATGTCGCTTCGCTCGACTTCAGTCTAGACTAGTCATTCATGGTGTTCAGGAAGGGAGCTCTCATCACACTTGCAATGTTCTTTTGATTTTAAAACGTATAAAGGAATACTGAAAAACCAGACATGCATCCGATGGGTCTCACGGGGTCTGGAAAATTTCCGGAAAGAATCTGGAGGGCGGCGAAAACATAGAA